TTCATATAATGGTTGTTTTATCACACAAAACATGTCCTCACTCAACAGAAACACAAAGCAAAGTCTCAGGAGACTAAAAGTGATGATGAAGACTTGGGTTTGGATGAACAACATGCAGAATCTAATGTCTCTGAATCTGATTGAAATAAATAAGTCCATGCATTAGTAAGTAACTAGTCATATGCCTTATGCCCTTGTTTAGTCAAAGATTTAGTGCTACAATTCTATTTGTCTGACCTAAAGAAGGAGATTCAGGGTCCAAAATTAATTAACCAGAAGTTCTAGTGTTCAATTTCTGTTGATTCCAGTTGGATTCCTGTTGATTCCGGCCGGAATTCCAGGAATTCCAGGAATCCTACCGGAATTTCAGGAATCCTACCGGAATTCCAGGATTCCAGCCGGAATCCAGGGAATCCGCGGATTCCAGTAGGAATCAGTGGAGGAATGGAAAGTATTGGAACATTGTGCAGATCTCAGTTGAAGTAACGCCACCACGTGACCGCGTTTACAACTTTGTAATTTCACATTCACCATTGTCCCATTCCGACACGCACATTCACCACCCTCGATCGTCCTATTCCCACTTACCATGTCCACTGCTGAACTTGCTCAAGCTGCTCAACAGGCCCATACCCTCACTCCCAGGTTCTTGGAGGATGTTAGGGTGACCGATTCATTGCTCCCAGTCACAGTCCCAACTCCCCCATTGCCAGTACCGACAGCTTCATCATCACTCCCAGCCCCAACAAAACCAACGCATCAGGCAAAATCAACCGATCCTGTGCCAGCAGCTGAAACGAAGTCCAAGAGTAAGACAAAGTCTGGGCAAAGGAAACCCGAGGCTGGGTCAAGCACCCAGCCACGATCAAAGGTGACTCCTAACGACACCACTGCCCCAGTCCAAAGCAAAAAAAGAAAAGGGGACTTGATCGAAGCCAGGCCAAAGAAGACCAGAGTTGTGAGCGCAGAGTTCATCAACAGCAGCAGTGATGAGGAAACATTGAAGCCGAAGTCGGAGTCACTTTGACTGGTTGGTGGGGAAGCAAAGGCGGTTAAACCTAAGTCCCAGCCCCATTTCTCCCACATGACACCCAGTGCCGGTCTCAGTCTCATCCAAAGGCCCAAGTTAGACCCCGACGCCGGTCCTCCCAAGACCGCCATGGCCGCTTTAAGGCAAGCCAAAACTGCCAAACGTCTTGCAAATCAGAATGCCGCGATTCCGAAAGGCAATTATCAGCTCACGACTATACCCTGTGAGGCCTGCAGCAAACGCATGGATCGAGAAACTGTTCCATGCACTATCCATCGCCCCCCACAACAAGGATCCTGCTTCACCTGCAGTACGGGTAAGACGACCTGCACATATGCAGTAACCAAGAAAAAGGACACCGACAGTGAGGTTGAAGATGAGATCCAAAAGGGGTTGCAGGATCTTGAAACGGCCACAGTCTCCGGGGGAGATGCCCAAGTGAAGATCGTGAGGAAGAAAGCGAGGTCAAAGAAGCCGCAGGTGAAGAAGGTTAAGCAGGATGTCAAAGAGAAGGGCAAGCAGGATGTCGAAATGGCTGCAGTCGGGCATGATGCAGAGCATGCGATTGACGTGGACATGGAGGTTGGTCTGACAATGGGAAAGGGGAAGTCCGAGGGTGGTATCAACATAGAGATGGCTGAAGTCAAACATGAGGAAACCGAGGTCGGTGCCATTCCAAAAGCCAATACTTTACCCTCCCCGGGTTATTCCATATGGACTGGATGGAATCCATACTTCCCCCAGGTGGATTCCATGGAATGGCTGATGGATTCCATGGAATGGTTGATGGAATCCATACTTTTTCCAGATGGAATCCATACTTTGGTTGATGGAATCCATGCTTTTTCCAGATGGATTCCATAATTTTTTTGGATGGATTCCATACTTTTTCCATGTGGAATCCAGATCGAATAACTGTATGGAATCATAATTCCAGACTTATCTAAGTCCACATCATCAGTTCTACAGTTAGTTTTACACTTATTCCATACTAATAACTGAACAGGGAGAATTTAAAATGTATTGAATAGGACTACATATATTTATTTTACTACATTAAATATTGAAGGGAGAAGTGATTGAGAGGAGTGTGTGTGGTGGAGAGTGAGGGGGGAGAGAGTGAGGGGGAGAGAGTGGTGGGGATTGATGAAGGGAGGGGGGACAATGGAGGGAGAGGGAGCAATGGGCAGTACTTTACAGTGCCCCACCTATTCCTGCAGGAATCTAGTCATTCCAGTGGAATTCCTGTGTATTCCTGTGGAATTCCTGTGGAATTCCTGTGGATTCCAGGGGAATTCCACTGGAATGGGACAGGATATGAGAAGAATAAGGTATAAAACCTCTATTTAAATGCAAGTATATGTTAATTTACACTAATATACACTTCTGCACACCTCTTTCTCTTCACTACTATTTAGTTGTCCTCATCATCTTGAGCTTCTTCATCTAAACCTAAGTTTTCCTCCTCATTAGTGTTTGGAAGTCCGGTCTCGTGACTGGAAAAAGACCGTAACCAGACTGGACCAAGACCGCAAAAGACCAGACCTGCGGTTACGGTCTTTTATTTTTGAAATGTAAAGACCGCAAAAAAACCGGTTAACGTGAACCGGTCTTGACCGGTTTGGACCGGTCTTTTGTAGCCCCTTAAATACCCTTTAAAACGCACCCAAGAACGTACGATTTGGTAAAAAAACGAGAGAGATATGAATTAAAATGTAAATTACTTTTGGGAATAATAGATGTACCAGACTTATTTTATAGAAGCACCAATTCCTGACGGAATTTAACGTTCTTGGGCTCGTTTTGAAGCTATTAGAGATGTTAATAAATTTACCGATTCATAATTTTAAAATATTGGCCTAAAGACCGGTCATAAACCGGTTAAAACTGATGCAGACCGAAACCGGTCTATAGACCGCAAAAAACCGCGGTCTGCGGTCTTTTTGCGGTCCGGTCTGGTCTTTTGACTTCTGGGGAAAAGGCAGACCGGTTACGGTTACGGTTAACGCCCCTGGGCATCAAAAAACCGGACCGAACCGGACTTTCAAACACTACTCCTCATCTTCATCTGATTTCTTCATCTCTTGTTTGTGGAGGACATACTTTGTGTGATAGAACAGCATGGTGTGTAAAAACCAGTTGAAATTTCCAGGTGTCATACGTTTGAGAATTGATTGATATCCACCAAGCCATGCATTAAGTTGTTCACAAACCTAGATGTAATACAGTGTTGAGGTGAGATTGAATCTAAATAAAGTAATAAATACCTGTGTATTGAATGCTCGCTTCAAATATGCTCTACCATTCTTATCATATGCCATGACTACAAGGTTTGGAGCAGATCCATCTCCAGGTGAGGGATTACAATATTTTCGGCATAGAAAATCTAACACCCGATGATTGATATAGTGGTAGGCATCCACAATAAATCGAGTAGTTTTTTTCCAAATATCCCAACTTCCATTTGCTACTGCAGTTGCAAACACTTGACAACCTTTATCAATACAAATATAATCAGGTCTTGATTCTTCTGTTGGATAAACTTTTCCTAGGAAGTTTAAAATATTTGTTGGTGATTCTGATTTATCAAACTTTGTCCAAGCAATAACAACACCACAAGGTGCGCAGATAGTTTCAACACAATAGAATCTACCTGCACGGAAGTAATTGGGGGCTTCTCGTGGTTCTGCATTTGGAGCATCATGTTGTTGGGGATTTGGTCCTCTGCGATTTGGTTCCCAAGGATTACTCTCACCAGGGCGTTGTAACATCCGG